AGTAATTCTAAAGTGCTTTCTGCTGTCCTTCCCGCGATGAATGTGTTTTTGAAATCCTCTTGCTTCAGGGGATTTGCCTTGCAGAATTCCAGCAACCAAGCGCTGGAGTTGCATTTTGAGACACATTTACTGGATATGTGTGAGGCGTGCTGACTGAGAAAATCAATGCCTACTGGATGGGTGAGGGGCACTCATTAGTGCTGAATTAAATATTCTCATTCTGTTTCCAAATGTTAAGAGTTGTTGAAGTGCTAGTGAAACTTTTTCCATATCACTATTAGTGATCAGGGCAAGCAGTGTGAAGAGATGAATGGTTGAATCTTTGTCAAAAGATTGCAAAGGGCCCTAGAGATAAAAATCTTTAGATTCTAAAGTCTCGTTTGAACTAGTTTGTGTGCTTGTCATTCTCATCTTACATACAGCCCAGATGGAAATGAATCTTCTTGAGATTAGAAGGAAAGTTTTGAAAATCTCTCAGCAAAGAGGGAAGTCTGGGTTATTTTATGCTTCCTTGTATTTCTCCATTTTTTTCGTTGTGTCATGACCCTTAACTATATCCATAGTTTCATCCTACGGGGTGAAGTAGGTGAGTGCAGTCAACTTGTAAAGTCTTGCATAGCATATCCTGGCACTGCTTGCCTGAAAAAAAAAAAAAAAAATACTGCTTCTTTTTGTGTCAGTTTTTAGCATGAAAAGATACTCATGGTAATCTTGGAGAGTGTAGTCTGCTATTCACAAAAGAATTAAAGATGCAATGGATGTCATTCCATATAATTTATGTTGCCCAGATTTTTCATTAATATATTATGAGAAAGTAAGCAAGAACTTCTGTACCTTTCCACTTCTCCTTTGAGATCTTTAACTAGTGTACTTATTTGGACAAATTTTTGCTGATGGACGGTAGTTCATTGCATACTGATATAGTTCATACATTTCTTTCTCAAATGTCTTTCCTTTTAAGGTGTATATTAAAAAAAAAAATCAAACAACCTTTCATTCCCCAACTGAGGATATCTGACAGGAAGAAATAAAAGGGACAAATTTTATCCTTTGTCTAGCAGTTCATCCTGCCCTTTCTCAGCATACTGGAGAACAATTTGAAAAGGTGTTTTCTTCACACAGGTATCAAAGACTGATGGGATTGAGTTGAGGATTGTAAACAGACTTGCATTACATTTTTGTTAGGGCTGACTGTGGCAGGCTTGGTATGTGGCTAAAGGAGTTCATGGGTGGCTGAGTGAACAGCAGGGAATTCCATTGTTAGGCTCCAGTACCCTAACTGAAAAAGACCAGATGGTGATCCATCTTTCCATTAAAACTTGGGTAAAAGTTGATGTTCAAACTGGACTTATTTTCACCAAAACATCTTAAGGCAGTGGGACTGTAGATCCAATTTTTAAACCCTATCCTAAATCAGCCTTATTCAAGTGAAACAAAGTATGCTAGTGCTAAATTTTTGGAAACAACTGTAGTAAAATGCAGGTCAAATATCTAGAAGTAAAGCATTTCACCTACAAACCTTTACAAACTCCTACAAACCTAAAAGGCCTTTAAAAAGATAGGGAATGAATTGACACCTGTACACTGTTATTCTCAAAGGTGTTACCAAGTGCTTCTTGATTATTTCTAAGCACGCAGAAATTATCTTTTACAAGATTGCAAGGTTCATATACTGAGATATCTGTTAAAGAGCACCTACTAGACCCCAATTTTCAATTTATTTCCTTTACCTTCCTGGTGTGTTTGGTGCATTGCAGAGTTCTTGAGGTTTCTTTTAACTCTCTAATATACTTGGTTTTTTTCCCTGCCCTCTTCCACTACTATATCTTATAATTCTTGCCATAAAAGACATGTTCTTTTGTCCTATATACACAAGTTCTTGGTTCCTGCTTGGTCAGAGTAGTGTCATAGGATCTAGCAGTTTTTTTCAAATAGCCCTTCAGATGACATGAAATGTGCTTTCTTGGCCTGAGATGTGCTTTCTTGGGCAACCATGCACGAGTAACTAGAGAAGAGTTTTGCTTGTCAGAAGAACCTCTTTCAGGTTTTGTATAACTACATCAATTCTCTTACTGTTTCTCATTGCTGAACTAATAATACATTTTATTTCTACCTTTGAGTCAGTTTCCAAGTAGAAGCAGATGAAGCACAGCTTAATTTCGTCAGGTTATGATACTTTCTATTACATTAACTTTCAAGGGAGCAAAATTAATCTCAACTTACATTATATTTCAAGTGCAGTAAATTCAAGGAATTATTCAGTAGGAGGTGAAAATAATGAAGGGGAAAAAAACTCTGAAAAGTTGAGTGTTGTTACTGTACATTCAGTACCAGGTAGCATTGCATTACAGCTGGACTTGTATTTTTTTGTTTGTTTCCGGTTAAAATAATACTGTTCTGAAGGCAGAGTTTTGGTGGGCTTTAATTTTCAAGTAAGCTGCCTGCATATGCATCTTAGTAGAATCTCTGAAGGCAAAAACACTGCATGACAGGAAAAAGCTACCTAGTACATAGTGTAGATTTTTGATAGGGGACATCATAGCTATTTGTAGGGTAGATTTTGACTCCACATTTCAATTCAGGCAAGCATTTCAAAATAATGATATTTTGCCTTTTAATACAATTTGGGGGAAGTAAGGTGTAAGCCTTACATTCCTGCTTAATATTGAAGTTAACTCTTAATATAGAAGGCAGATCAATGTCAGAAAGAAAATGGAAGCTTATAATTCAAAACATACCCACATTTGGTTTCCCATAGGTAACTTGATAGCACTTGCTGTTTGCTTCAATAAACATTGCACCAAACTGCAGTATGAAAACCCGTGCTTACCAGCATGGCTCTTCTCTCTGTACGTAGATAGTAAAGACAAATTAAATAGGGGAACCATATTGCATTAGAGTTTTATGAGATGTGTGCTGCAAACCCTTTATTTTATCCAGTGTGGTGTTAGATATATTTCACTCCTCTTTCTTATACAAATAAAGCTTTCTTTCTCATACATAAAAATCAATATAGTTAAGAAGAAATGCAGTTGAGCCTTCAATAAACATTGTAAAACCCCTTTCTCATTCCTGCTTTGCTAAGATCAAAGCCGCAGACTGGTGTAGATATTCCATATGGAAGTGGAATTACTTTATGTCTTCTTTTATCCTTTCAATGCATATTTCTCGCTTTTATCTTTAGAATTTCTTTAGTACTCCACCCTTGTACTTTCCATTTGCACAGGGGTGAATGAATGTGAAATTAATTGTTTGTAAGCCCATGTGCATACCCAAGGTTATTTTTTTCTTCCCATGCATTGTATGAAGGAACCTCCTACCCTGTATGCAGTTCTGGTTTTCTCAGAAAGTATTTTGAAAAGGCAGGAGGGTTCACAAAAGTGCAGAAAAAAAAGAATGAATTCTTAAGTTTTACTTATGGTGTAAGTATTGTCTTTATATCTGTATTTTTAAAGAACCACTACAGTGCTTTTAGGTAATAGGGCTTGAAAACAGAAGGTACTTGCTTGTTCCATTTTCTGAGATATGAAACTGTGTGGTCAGACTGAAAGAGCTTCTGGCATTACATCAATACAGTGTCTTCTTTTGAAACTGTGCAGCAATTCATAGCTTTTTGTTTCTACTTTGTGCATGTCTGTCTATGAGTGTTATGGAAGATCAGATGAGATTCTGAAAATAACATTGCAGCAAGTAGATTTTTTATCCTATCATTATAAACCAAACAATTTTGCTCTGAGTTAAATGAGAAATACACTGCTATTTTTCTTACTATTAAGCTTCAGCATTTCATCAGAAACAGGTATTTTTCAGTTTGTTTTTACCATGAAAAGTGCAATATTCACCGCTCCAAATACATTTTGACAAATACTACCCTGCTTTAATGTACTGGTAGGAGTTAGTTACCTTGAAATATCACCACTTGCTATCATGTTGAGCATGGCCCTTTATGATTTCCTATGACAGAAAACTTTGTGAAAGGGTGAGCATTTACAAATCTTGAAAAGATGGCAACTGTCCTCTAAGCAGTTTGTAGACATACAATGAAGTAAAAGACTAAGTGATAATAATGGTTATTAAGCTACCTTAGCTTGATGTATATCATTATTGTGTTGCTCAGCAAATCAAAGTTTTTGATGATTTCACATGACCACAAAATGACTGAGGTTGGATGGGTCATCTGGGAGCTCTCTTGTACCCCTAGAGCCAGGAACATATCTAGGCACCTTTTGGGTAGCTCCAAGGAAACAGATTCCACACCTTTTCCAGGCAGCCTGTGCCAATGCTCACGCTAAAAAAAACCATTTCCTGATGCTCAGGGGCAGCCTCCTGTGTTTCAGCTTGTGCTTGTTGCCTCTGTCTCAAACTGTCACCCTAGTAACGCTGTGGAAGAGTATTAGTTATCTTACTGGCATCATGTTTTACGTCTTAAAGGGAAATAGAACTAAACTAAAAAATTACAGTCCTAGATTTATTTTTGTCAGGTCTCAAGTAATTTTCTTAGAATAAGGACAGTAAAGAAAGATCACAAATTACTGTCCTAACACCATGCTGACAAAATATCCTAAACATACCAATTAATTTTCTAATGAAGTAGGATCATGTTCATGTGTTCAAATATATATTCTTTACTTCTGTCATTAAAAGCTAAGTGTTCAATTTTTAATGCTATCACCTATTATCAAGACTCTAGGAGTGAGCAGAATGTGTGAATGTGCTCTGCTTCCTACACTGCAGTTTCAATATTTATTCTGAAATATTTATTCTAATAAATAATATCCTGAGCTATTTTTCCAGTATTTCTGTGGACAATCTTTCTGCTTTGGTCTTAGAAATAAGGAGATGGTTGTAATTTCAAGGTGATGAGCTGATGTCTGCTGAAGGTAATTTCTTCAGCACCTCAAGGTTTTATTAGGGGGGAAACAAACAAACTGTCTTCCGATATTTATAATGGATTTGAAACACATTTGAAAATACTTTTTTTAATGTTTTCTTCTCTCTAGAAAATATGAAGGATATCCTTGTGATATATGAACAAGAAGCAGAAGAGTGGGCTCTGTATTTAAAATCTCTTTTTGGACTCATAGTAAACAAAGAAGGAATCTTACTGTACGATCTGGAGAATTCATCTTTCAAGCACCAGGAGCTACTCTGTTTGACATCTTACAAATGTAAACTCCTGATACTCTCATGTGGACTTCTTAACTGCCTGAATCAAAAAAGAAGTTATTTTCTGGAACAAGTTCTGAAACCTTTGGATAATGTGGTCATTCTGCTTTGTGGAGTGGAGAATTCAGAGATTCTTTATGAGATACTAACCTTAGCTGGAGGCAGCAAAGAGATTTCTACTGATCAGAAACCTGAGGAATATATTTCTGTTGTTAAAGGAATTATTCAACCAGGTAATATACTACTGCTTGTTTGTAATCCTTAGGTCTTTTGTCTCCTCTCAGCTCTTGCTATTAAGCCAAGATTTTGTCTACCAAGCAGAATATTGTGCTTCTCTCTTCGTTACATGCAACATGCCATTTTATTGGAATGGGAGTTTGTGCTTGAGAAAGAAATCCTGCAGTTCAGGATTTCTACTCAGAACTAGTTTTGGATGCACATGAACAACCGAGAATATTCTTTTGAACACTGGGGTAGACAGATGCCAGCTGAATGAATGACTTAGCTGGATGTCCCTGCTGTCTTGTGCTTAAGCAGGTAAGCTTAAGTATACTATAGGGCTTTAAAACCTGCCCAGAATATGTCTACACACCGTCTGCCTATATGAGATCAGTGTTTTCAAATGAACATTTTAGACTCCTCCTCCCCAACAATCTCTTCAGTTTTGAATAACCTTTTCCTCAGTACATATCTCAGACTTGGCAATTTGGGCTCATTACATTTGTCTGTTTTGGTTTCAGAAGGTAATGTTTGCAATTTCTGTCTGTGTCCAATATTTAGCTTCAGACTGAAGCTTTTTGGCAGTTTTTTAAATGGGATGAAAACAGTGAGTCTATACGGTGTGTGTGTGTGTATATATAGGAAGTAACTGTGCTTAGATACTATCAGTTGACACATGCACAGGAAATGGCAAACCTTACTGCAACAAGAAACAGTTTTCTGGAAGACTCATGAAAGTTCTTTGCTTAGGTCAATGCATTCACAAGAATACCTATTACCTGTGCCCTTGGGACTTATGTGTAATGTCAAATGTTTAGTAGGTGTTCAAATGATCTTTGCTTTGACAGTGACCAATACCAGCAATTTCAAAGACCAGGAGAAAGGTGAATTAATGAATAGTTGTTGAAGGCCTTAGTCTCAGTGTGTACATCTTTACTGGGGATGCATATACTGTGGCTGGGATCAGATGAGTTCAGTGGACTGAGCTAGATCCAGGACTGGAAATGGTGATGATGCCTGGTGCTTCAAAGCTAAGCCCTCCTCCACACTTGTGGCTTAGAACCACTCTGGCCCTGCTTTTTGTGTACTGGTGTGCCCTGGCCGTCAGCCAGGCCAGCTTAGATCAGGGCTGGATAGGAGACCTCTGCTCTGCTCTCTGTTGTGCAGTGAAAGATCCAACTAAGAGATTTGCTTTCATATGAGTGTTGATTTAAGCTCTGAGGAATGAAGATGTGCATGGTTTGTCATTGTTTACCTTTGCTTAAAGATAATGGTATCTGTATATATGATAGTCTTTTGTATAATCCTGTTAAGTTCTTAGCCTTTGTGATACCTATGACTGGGATTTTGACAGATTGCACATCTGGGAAAAAGGATTTTTCCCTTGTATTTAAAATTATTTGCTCAGGGGTTGTTGAGTATATACAGTGATTATTTTTTCCTTGGAGCATATTTTTTTTGCCTTTCATTGGGACCAGACATACAAGATTTCCCATTTCTCTTCATATGGATCATTGTCTTCAATCCCTTTTGTTTTCACTGCTCATCCCTAGACCCTTACATTCTTGACCCTTTTAGAGATAGTGATGAAAACACTTTTGTGTATATTCTTGTGGTTTTCAGTTCTGTTTTTTCCTGTTAAACTGTTCATTATTCTTAACTTATTCTTCCAAGCATTTGTAGCTTCTTGTCTCCTCAGTATTGAAAAGAGCTATCACCAGTCTAAATTAATTATAATGGCCCCACCACATGCCTTCCACTGCAACTAAGTTCTGTTAATCCCTTAGGACAGCGAGCCATGGAGATCCTAGGACTAATGGATGCCAGGGCTCAGGAGTGGCCTGCAGGCAGTTAGAACAGCTGAAGATGGATGCTAAATCATGTTGTTATCTCACAGTTTAACATTCTCCTGGAGAATGTTAACAATGGCGTAGCATAGGTGCTAGTAGTCACCACCCTTCCACTACAGATTTCCCCATACTTAGGAAAGCTCATAGGCAAGGTTTTAGTTTTTAGCTGTCTCTTCTCTGCTAGGTGCTATTCTCTTTGCACTAGCCCTACAACCTGAGATGGAAGAAATGCAAAATAAGTCTCATTTTATATGCCACCACAATTATTTCACCTACCAGATGATGCTGGTTTCGTATTCTTGGAGCAGACAGGTTTGCATCTGTTAAAACTTCCTTCTGGCTCTAAAGTAGAATATATGCCAAACATTCTAGGCAAAAACTAAAATTAATTAAAATGTTAAATAAAATAAAACAGAAGATGCAAGGGGTTTTGTACTCAGCAGAGAGCTTATTTGTCTGTAATGTGGTTCAAACACAAAATCTGAATGGTTTGTCAAGCCTGTTTGAGCATATTCTTGGAGGAGTAAAGGGAGAACTGAGACATGGAGAGTGACCTTTCTAGAATATATTTCCAGGATGCTGACAGACTTTATTATATTCATCTTCTGCATGAAGAGGAACACAAATATTTTAATGTTGTCAAAAGATTCCTTTTGCAGGATTTGTTTGTAATATATTTCACTGTTTGAAAATGCCACATTCAGATTCCGAATTGGTTTTGAATTTTGTAGATCCTGTGCCTATTGCCATAAAAAAGATAACTTCCAGAGAACGAGGAGAACACTCAAAAGTTTTATTATTCTATGTTAACATCTAAGATGACCCAGTGAGACTCTAGAATTCTGATTTTCCTTTATCAGCTTTTCCCAATATTGTTGAAAGTAGAATCAGGACATATGTTTTGCTTGTCAGGATATATGTTTTGCTTGCATCTGTCTTTTCCTTCTCCTCAATCTTTCTACTACCTGTTCTTGGTCTGCTGGACTGGGTACCCCTTTTTTAGATTAAATTGACATATTTTCAATGTATTAATTCAGTATCCTGGGGTACTAAACATAGCTGAGGTTTTTCTGTTTAATCCTGGAAGACTTCAAATTCAGGCAAGCATGTGTTTATGTAAAGGATTTGTAGGCAGATATTTGCATCTGTAGGTAGTTAACTTAGATCCTTAAATGTCCTAAATTTCTCCTGTAGCTGTCCTCAGTATTAATGGTGCAAAAAGAGAACAGGTCTTATCTAATACAAATAATTTTCTTTGGCACTGCTTCTAAAGTGCGCTGACACTTTTATTAGACTTTTGGTGAGACTTCTTGGTAAAGGAGTCATAAGTATTCATTAGTCTGCTTGAAGTTTTATTAGGTTTCATTTTTTAAAGCTCAGCAAAAGCAACTCTTGTCATTTCCACTTCCAGCCTTTTCCCCAAGCAGTGATATCCTTTTTTTCTTTTAATGCCAAAATATGAAGAGAATTTACTTCTACAAAACTTGATAGCCGAGAACAGCTCATCAAACCTACATGTATCCATTCATTATCTGCTATTGTATTAAACAGTGAGATGTACATGAAGTAAAATAACTCAACTAGAAAATGGTACCCGAGTCTTTGACAACTCAGGAAAGATTCTCAAAACAAATTTGTAGATTTTACCTGAGACAGCAGTATGCCATTAATTTCTGATTGTTTGCCTAAAAGGTATTCCATGTATCTGCACACAATTCTAACGATCAAGAACAGTAATGTTAAGAAAACTACTTTTGCAACTAATTGTAGTGTGCAGATGTGGACAAACGAGATACTAGCATAGGGTGTTTTGCTCTAATAAGTAAATGTGGGAAAAGCAGTCTGGGAGCTAAAGTAGTGCTTAACTCATGGAGATCTTCAGACCACTTCAGATACTGAGGGGCTAATTTCCGTTGTGCAGACCACACAAAAGAGAAAGAAATAATTACATTTTTACCATAACTTTTGTGGTATCTGTTTCCTGTTTCATTTCTAGTACAGTGGCATCAATTTTATTGTGATTTGGTATAACATTGAATACTGAAGTTATGTTTCACATTTTGGTTCCACTGCTTTGCTTGTTCTCCTGTAAAGTCCTGTTCACATTGATTGTCAAATACAAGTAATGAATGCCGATAGATTTCCTTAGGCAAGACTAGAGCAAGATTTCCTAGAGCAAGACTTGTGCTGATGAGCTAAACCCTTGATTAAGTTTACCATTGGCTTCACTGGACAAGTGCTTCACCTAAATTTTGACATTGACTTGGAGACTATGAGAAAATGAAGCTAAAGTGCTAAAAAACCACAAAGTTGAAGAAGAAAGAAAATGACTAGAATTTCTGATCTTGTTTGTTTGTGAATACTAAATACTCGTGTGTGGTGACCTAAATCTTGGTTGTGAAGATTTCTCCCTGAACATGCAAGACTGAGTAAATAGAGGAAAGTAAGTGAGTGGTTCTGGCCTCGTTCACTGACAGGAGAGGTTTCAATAAATGAGACCACATGGCTGTGCTTCTGTTTACTCCTTCCCCAAGGTATTTACATTCAGACAGTGCATGCCACTGTTGGTGCTTTAAGGTAGTGATGTCATCTGCTTATTGCAGTACACCTGCTAATTATTTTTTTTATTAAAATGAAAATAATCTGTGTGACTGTATCATAAGCACAAGAGCAGAAGGGATATTCTGTCAGATGGTGTATGCTGCAGTATAGCTCTCATTTCCCTTTTGCCCTGCTAATAAGTCTTTGAAGTGCTCTGCAGGGACTGCTAAAATTACCAGAGTATTACATCTTCCTGAGATGCTGTGCTTCTCCATTCCACATAGAAGGGATGCCAGTGCAGTGATGGGGGTTGGTAATGACTGCCAACAAAAAAAAACTGGTTTGTGTCACTAACTTTCATCTGACATGAGATCCTGGCTATTTCAAAGCAGAAGAGAAACCGAAGTGATTGTCTGGAGGTGGCAACCCCAGATAAGATGTTGAGACTGTCATCCCCTGTCACTTAAACTGTTTGACTGCTTTGCTATTTCTTCTCTTTTGTTCTGCAAAATTCAGAGAAGATTTTACTTGTTAGGGTTTATTTGTGGGGTTTGTTAGGTTTCTTAGCAGGTCATGTTCTAACCTATGTAGCTAGTTGTGGTAACCTGTACCCTTAGATTCTGAAGTATGTGTCATGTAGATGATATTTTTTTCTCTTATTTTTGACAGTAGTTGGATGAAAAGTTATTACACCTGGAAAAGTGAGTGCACCAACATCTTAAAGTTTTTAGCATGTTTTTTAGAATATTTTTAGCAGCATTTAGGACTCATTAAAAGTTTTGTTAATAATAAAAGTCAGATGACTGGAACACAAGTATTATTGCAACAGCATGTACTAACTAAACATACTGCAATTTTACTTCTGTTTATTTTGTTTATATTTTTTTTATTTAAAAGGTAAATTAATGGATTTATCATTTTTAGTCTGCTGATTTAAAGTTTGAAATGGACAACATCCAAATTTATGTATTGTTTATGGCCCAGTCATCAGTCAGTATTTAATTGCAGTAGTGAGACTGTTTCTAAAGCTGACAAATAATTTAAGATTCCCAGCAAGTATTTTTGCAGGTAATGCTGTAAAATGGCTGTGTGCATCTGTAGTCTTATATATCCATCATGTAATGTATTATTGAGTCTGACTGAGTCTTGCACTGTGGTTACCAGTCACAATTACCAAAGAGTTGTCATTGGAAGGCATCTAGAGAAGACCTCTGTAAAAGTAGCCCTTGTATATTTTTTTGCATACGACTGTTGTTACAGCACCACAATATTACTTCTGTTAGATTAGTGCCATTTTATTGTAAATGGGGTAAAATAAGGGTTGTTTTGCAGTCTAGACTAAAGAAATTGTCACTTATCCCTGAGAAAATGAAGTATAACACTTATTTAAGTTCATAGTAGAAAAATAGAACCACATTTTGCTCTTGGTAGGGTCTCTGTGTCCTTACTTAAAAGGCTGTGATTCCAGAACTTGGTCCTGAAAATGTTAATACAGTATATTACAGGGCACAGGCTGAGAAGAGATAGCTGAGAAGGGGACCTCATCAATATCTATCAGTATCTGGAGGGAGGATGTCAAGGGGATGGAGCCAGGTTCTGCTCAGTGATGCCAAGCAACAGGACAAGAGGCAATGGGCAGAAAATGATGTTCCACCTAAATGTGAGGAAGAACTTATTCACTACACGGGTGACTGAACACACTGGAACAGATGGTCAGAGAGGTTGTGGAGTTTCCCTCACTGGAGATGTTCAAGAGCTGTCTGGATGCAATCCTGTGCCTTGTATTTCAGGATAACCCTACTTGAGCAGGGAGGTTTGGACCAGGTGAGCCGCAATGGTCCCTTCCAACCAGAACCATTCAGTGATTCTGTGTTGGATGCTCTTTAATTTTTTTTTTTTTGGTGGCATTGAGTGCACCCTTAGCAAATTTGCTGCAGACACCAAGCTATGTGGTGCAGCTGATGCGCTGGAGGGAAAGGATGCCATTTGGAGGGGCTTCACATGTTCAAGAAGTGAGCCCACACCTCATGAAGGCCAGCAAGGCCAGGTGGAAGGCCCTGCACATGTTGGGGCAATCCCAAGCGTAAATACAGTCTGGGTGGTGAATGGATTGAATGCAACCTTGAGGACTTAGAGGTGTTGCTTGATGAGAAGATCAGTGTGTACTTACAGACCAGAAAGCCAAACCTGTCCTGAGCTTTATCCAAAGCAGTGTGGGCAGCAGGGCGAGGGAGGGGATTCTGCCCCTCTGCTCTGCTCTGCTCTGTTGAGACCCCACCTGCAGGGCTGCATCCAGCTCTGGAAGCTCCCGACACACAAACAACATGGGCCTGCTCGAGCAAGCCCAGAGAAGGCCACAGAGATGCTCAAAGATGCTTGGAGTACTGGAGCACCTCTCCTGCAGACAGGCTGAAAGAGCTGGGATTGTTCAGCCCAGAGCCTAGAAGGTTCAGGGGATAGGACAAGGAGGAATGGCTGTGAACTGGAGAAAGGTAGGTTTAAGTTTTGGAAGAAATTCCTTACAATGAGGATGGTGAGGCACTGGAATGGATTGCTCAGAGAAGCTGTGGATGCCTCATCCCTGGAAGCGTTCGAGGCCAGGTTGGATGGGGTTTGAGCAATCTGATCTAGTGGAAGGTGTTTCTGTCCATGGCTAAGGGATTGGAGGTAGATGTTCTTCAGGGTGCTTTCCACCCCAAACCACTCTATGATTCTGTGATACTGTCTGTAACCAGATCTATTGTATTATTAAACACTGAACACATGTCTTCCAAATGGCAGTGCCCGTATCCATTTCAGTTTCTCACTTTACTGCACATGATTCTATTATCTTTTTTAATCCCAACTCCTCTCTCATTATTTGCTGTATTGACTTTCAGGGAAACTTCATCAAGTAGACATTTCTCACCAGCTCTGATAAATTGAAAAAAAATAAGTCAAAGGGACATTTACTGAAAAATAAAGTTGCATCTAAAGGTTGGCTTGTCCCTCTGACTTGTTCTCTAGGCTTGTTCCTCTATACTAGCCCTCGGATTTGTTTTATGATTGCTTTTTCTATCTGCAGAATAATAGCTTTAAATAGCTTTTTCTTACATTTAAAATACATACAGATTTTAATCTTAGAAAACAAAAAGTGGAAATCAGTGTGATGATATTATCTTCTTTCTTCTTATTTTTTCCTAGATAAACCATGGGATGAAAATCCTGGAGACTCTGTGTCTTACATCTATGAAACAGTTCTTACAGATGGTGAGTTGAATTCCCCTTGCCTTTCACAGAATAAAGCCAGTACTTTCCAGAAAATTAAATACGTGTTGTTATACATGGAAGGCAATAAACCATTCCTACCATAGCATACAGTTGTGTAGAGAAGCATGCCTTGTTCTCAGACATCCACCCCCACATCAGTACCCACACAATCTTGTGAGGAGTGTGAAAAGGGGAGGAGATACAAAAGGGTTGGGTTTTTTACTGTGATTTCAGTGTAGAGAAAGACATAGAGAGCTTTCCTTCCTGTTCCCTGCATGAAGAGTTTTGCTTGTAAGAAAGAGCTGATTTAAAATTTCATTTACATCTGTCCTACTCACATCAGATTTGCAGCATCATTCACTGACAGCCAGTGGCTGGAGTAGATCTGCATCACAGCTTCAGCCCCTGTTGACATTTGCTATTTTGGTTTACTTGTAGCCATGAAAGTTGACAAAAGGTTCTAGTAGGAATTACAGATTGGCAAAATCTTAATGTGCTTTTATAAAGAGCTACATAGCATGTTTCCTGTCCTCAGTTCTTAGAGAACTTTATTTCTGGGTTGACATTGTTGGAAAGTAATTGGCTTAATAGCACCAGCATGCTTACCAATGGAAAGGGACAAGTAATTTATTCCAGAATTCCTGGCGTAGCAGGTCTGTGCTGGTGGACTCTGAGGTTAGTGGCTCTCTTTCCTATTCAACCCCATCCATATTCTGATAAGGCGCTCTTTTTGAGTCTCTTGACATCTTAGGTGTAATGGTGTGATCTGAAGCAGAAGGCTGCTGCAAAGCTACATTGGTTTATCCCTAGAGAAATGTTATCAAGGTTTCTATGGATATCTCTTTTTTGTCCTGTGTTGAATGTGCAACAGGTCAGTGCACTGAAGAAGTATGTTGATATAAAGAAAGCTTTCTGGCTCATCATCCAGGTGCCAAATAAGTTGATGCCACCATTTCTCTCATTCATTCCTGTTACGTCCAAAAAATGGGACATTAAAATAGTGATTAGAGAAAAGAGAGTCCCAAGAAAAGAAAGGACTGAGGACATGGTCCTCCAAGCTACTTCTGTTTTCTTATGGCTGCTTGAAGAGCAGCTATAAGTCCACGTTTACTGCCATCTGAATGGTTGATACTGAAATAAAGTGATATGGGGATTTTCCAGAAAAAAAAAATATTTGCATTAAAAGCAAAAGTTTCACTTGAAATCTTAGCAGAAGTTTCCTGAACAGCCATTCTCAGTCAGCTTTTGGCAGGCATCCTGAAAGCACTGATTGTCTGTGGCCTTTGCTGACTAATGATGTCTGGTTATTGCTAAGAGGACCAAGGAGATTGTTGTGATGAGTGAAAGAGCCAATTAGAAATGACGGATTCCCAGTAATGGTATCCTGTATGTGAGGTTATGGCTGACTGCCAAACAAGTGTAAGGAAATGCATCGTCAACATTCCTTCTGTAGTGATGCAACAGGGAGCAGTTACCTGATACCACTGCAGAGCTTTGGAGGGAAAAGTAGCCCAAGAAGTGAAATGATTGGAATTTCTGAGATTCGGTGAGTCAGTCTTTACAAAGCCAAGAAAGATAAGATGTCAGCTGCAGATTAGCCACTGTTTGTACCCTCCAGAGTGTAGGTGAATCTTCAGGTAAACAGACAGGGTTTGACTTCGGAAGAATTGTGAAAAAGTGTTTTCAGGGACCGTCTCTTCTCTCTGCTTCTTCCTAATAAGAAGCAAATGTATGCAGTGCTAAATTGTATGAAAGACACAGAACAGAAGTGTCGGGAGAAATTATAAACCAAGAAAGGGTTTTTGCCAGAACCCTATAAATTCCCAAAAGAATGGTGCTTTAGGTGAGGTCTGAAGTTGATAGTGGCTTGATGAAAGCTGAAGTTTGTTTTGTATATACAAGCTATCATTCAAAAGAAAGGATAAGTTGAAAGAAGATGGAATTTTAGCTTGAACTGGAATGAAAGCTGAACAGAACGGAAGTATAAATCTAAATGAGAAATCTAAAGCAACAAGGATGGAGAGAACAGTGAGCGGATGACAGGAATATTAAAAATAAGTTCACTAAAAAAATACCCCTACATTCATTGAAGCAAAGATAGATGGGGAGTGAGCAGGCGCTAACAATCAATAAGAAGTGATTGACTAAAGTGAAGTGTGCAAGGCCTTGAGGGAAAAGGTCAGAGAGTACAATGGAAAATGGAAAAACAATATAATCAATTAATCCTTTGGGGAAATACGAGCTACAAGCAGATGTGAAAACAATTGATTTGCTGCTGAGTGAGGGAAAAGATCAGTTGTGGAATGTTAATGACCATAATATGAATATATGAGGACTCAGTCTTCTAGGTGGTAACAGAATAAATCAACTCTTCAGCCACTCACAAATGTTGCCATGTGCTTTCTGTATTTTTGGTTTCTGTGTAAGAAGAGAGGACTTGTTATAATTACTATAGAGCTGTATCTTGAGAATATCCCTTGTGGTTCCTCAGGAAACTTTCTGTTCCCCAAAGAATCATTATTTATAATTTGTACTAAGGTAGAAAAATGAAGTAATTGTACTAGGATCTGGGTATACAGCCTTGTCACCACAATATAAAATATGAATGTGTTATTGTGGAGCTGCAAAATAGAGCTAAACTCAGATTTAGGTACCCATTAAGTGATACTCAGCTTCCAAAAAGGCTCTTCCCCTTCTGTGAAACAGCTTTGTCTTTTTTAACATTTGGCACTAAAGCTTGTATCCTAGCACTAATTAACTGAAGCAATTAGGCATGGGTAAGTAGAGCACAAAAGGTGATTTTAAAGGATGATAGCTGTCTGCCTATTAAATTTAACAGCAGACATGTTTTGATCCTGCTCGGAGGTCTCATCAAGGTAAGATGTATGTGCATACGGGTATATCTGTATCCTTTACCAAACTAAACTGAAGAAAGGCCAGCATTTTTTAGCAAAATAAATCCTCTCTGCAGATAAAGAGCTCTAAGAGTACCTATGCTATGCTATTCTTTTTCAATAATGCTATCTAAAATCCCGTTTTAATAAAACGTGTCTATTCAGTTGTATTAAAGGGCATCGTCTTAAAAGATGAAGACCTCAGATTACCTTCCGATTCACAACTCCAACAAAAGGGAGTTTTGTTAAATCAGGAGTTAGAAAACAAGCATGGTTTTCAGATGTGTCTAAAAATATTACTTTTGATTGTGTTCCTAAGAAAGCAGTGTACCTTTTCGCCCAATTTAAGGGTCAATAAGTTTTAGCTATTTCAAACTAAAGGTGGGAGTAAATTGCAAAGCAGCCTGTCCCCAGTGAGTCAGTCCTGCTGACAACTCACTTTTTTTCCTTCTTTAATACCAAACATGTCTGGCGTGAGTCTTTCTGCTGAAAGCAATTGTGGCAGCATGGCACAGGAGACATGTGGTCTCTTAGACAGACAAATCCCATGTAATTTAGAGCTGTACAGATCAGGAACAGCATCATAAATTTAATCCAGACATTGATAAGAGCCCTGTGCAGGTATTGAAGTTCTGCTGTCATCCTGAGACTAAGACACTCTCTTTGGTAAATGACCTGCTGCAGTCCAAGCTAGTTTCTGTTACCAGATTGATTTAAGGGATGCTGTAACATGGAGTATATTGGCTTGTGTCAGTGCTCATCTTGATATTATTAATGTTCTGTCTGAGCAGGGTGAAGGCTGAGAATGCCTGCTACTAGTGTCTCCCCTCCCAGCCTCTCCCAATGCAGCTGTTAAAGGACTTCAGTTATGCTAAACTTCATGAACTTCCATCCATGTGTTTTTTGATGACCCTAAGGAATATTCATAAACAGAATAGCTTCAAACATGGCCAAGAGGGGAAAGTTTGGCTACTCAGTCCTTGAGGAATTTCTTCGTTCATTGAGGGTGATACTTGTAAAAAATTAGACCTCTTATCAGCTTGAATGTTGTGCCTCCCTGAAGTATGTTTTGATTCTCAGACACTCCTCTCTGTTTCCTCTTATATGTGTGTATTTCTAAATGTAGCAGTGTGCCACTTCTGTGTCCAAGCACAGTGTGAAGTTTGAGCCAGGCCAGTTATGAGAGGCTTGAATTGGAGTTTAGAGATGAAGGAGCCACTAGGCAGCTGCATCTGGCCCCTTTGCAATAATAAGGAATTTTCAGGAGCATTTTATCAGACTAACAAATTTTGGAGGTTTCCTGGATTCCTGGATTCCTCTGCTATCGGTCCTTCTGTCTTCAGTGGTACTTTTGTGTCAGTAGCAGGGGGGTAGCCTGTCTCAGTGGCAGCAGCACATCTCATTTCAGGCAGTGTTTACTGCTGTATAATCCTTCACCTAAATCCTTCACTGAAACAGAGGTGAGAGGTGTGTGTGCTGATAGCACAGAGAAATGGAACAAAACCACCCAAGTGTTCTTACTGTGGTAGAACTCCAGTAAGTCTGAAGTGGATGGAAGGACTCTTTAATAAAACATTAGGCTTCAATAACTGAGAACTTCTGGTACACACAGAGGGGCAGACTTCGGTTTGCTTCTTCCTTGAATAAGTATGCAGAATCCAGAAACTGGAAATAACAGGCTTGGGCTCCACCAGCAACTCTGCTCAGCACCCAGATGACCTCAGACAGGTAGTTGTTACTTCCAAACTAATCAGTATGCCCAATAGAAACTTTTTGGGACAGTCTTGCTATGTGTCAAACTTATCAGAGTAGTCAAGTTCCTAGTGCTGCTGGTGAAGCTGAAAGTCATAGATTTCATTGCAGAAAAAAATAATAGCATGAATTGAATGCAGTAAAAGATAAAAATCAGTCCCAAAAAGCATCTAAATATATCCGTCCTAGCTAAAGCTCTGACAAAATCAAACATTTCTTCCAAACCACAAGACAACTTAGAGCTAGTTAATTGTTATAACTTTAGATTGCCTCTGAATACAGAGTTACAATCATATGAAAGTATATATGTAAAGAAATGCCTGCATTTTCATGCAAGTTATTTCTTAGAGATTA